ATAATCGGGAGACTTGAATTCCGCTATCTCCACGTTGGGATCCGTCACGGATCCCAACGGGGAGATCCAATCCAATCGGAGAATGTGAAACATCCAATCGGAGAACGTGAAAAGGGCACCATCATGGGGTTCGTCATGTTTCTTTACATGTTCTATCATCGCTGAACCAATCACAAACAAAAAAAATCCCTAGTGACTTACCGCTTTTGATGCAGCTTCATTGGTCCAATTGGCTCATAGCGTCGGCTGTTTCTGAACTTCTGCTGAAACGAAGTATAAAAACAACCACAAAATGTTCATGGTTCACGAAGACTACAATAGTCTTCTTTGTTATTGTTGCTGTTATTTTCGGAAAAAAATATTGTTTTTACGTTGTCTTTAACCTCAGCTCGAAGAGAGGACTTTAGACGGGACTTTAGGCAAAGAGTCCGTTAGACGACCGGACATGAAACGATGCTTTTTTTTTTCCTTAATTCTGAACCCGTTTTGTTGACAATGAAGTTTCCCAACTACTTTAAGTGTCCCGAATAAATAATGCAGTAGCCCAAAAAACGTTTTTTAGAGCGAAAAGCGGCGTTTCCAGGTCACCATTTTCGAGACAGCGAAGGAACTTCAAAATGGCGGATTGCGCGTGTGGGCGGAGCCTCCACAGCGAGGTCGAACGTCACGCCTCTAGCGGCACGCTTCAACTGTAGGGACAACAAACCGAATTTTCTGGTTTGTTTTTGATCAGCGATATCGAAGATGACGATTCGAGGGCCCCTCCTCGTGCGACCCCAGACCGTGCATGACGACGTTCAATTTCTTTTTTATGCTGTGTTAGTAAACATTGAACTGTGGGGACAACAAGCTCGATAAACGCCCCCTATAATTTGATCTCCTGCTCAATAGATGGTATTGAATAAAGCCACCCCTATAGCGCTGGCATCGCTCTCGCCAAATGATTACCTTCCGAAATGAAAACCCGCTGTTATTGCAACGAAACGCCGTGTTTGCTTTTTTTTGTTTTTTTTTCGATTGTGTACATCGAGTATACCTGTTTTGTGTAGGGTAAAACGATCTCAGTCCAACTAAAAATCCCGGAGCGCGGTCAAAAGCAAAACCGAACCAAAAAAGCTGAAAGAAAAAGCTGGGACTGTTTAGCAAAACGATTTGCGGTGAGCTCCTCGCTCTGTTTTCCCGTTCCAGCCGCCATAATTGGTTTTATGCTTGCGCAAACAAACGCTCGCTTTCCATTACACGAACCGGGCACTAGACAGCAACACCGCGCAGTCTTTTTCTCCGTTGTGGCACCGGGGCTGGTGCGTTTGTGCTACCCCTTTCTTAGTCGGCTGTGTTTCTTTGGAAACAATGAAAACAATACAGACGCTTGTTAACAAATTCCATTAGCATTTGGCGTGCCCCGACGGGACAGCTAAAAATAAAGGCACATTCTATTTTGACCGAGCTGTGTTCAATTCACGCGGTCAGCATAAGGTACCCTTAACGTAGGTCCTTTTGCGATCGGCGAACCGGGACGCACTTCTGTGTCGCGAGCACACGCCAAGTGCAAAGGATGGCGAACTGCCGTTGACCATAAAGCCGAGCTCACACTGCTTGCACATCGTACAAAGACAGTCTGCAAACAGATTCAAACTCGAATCACCACGACATCCCTGCTTCAAATGCCGCATGGCAAGGAGTTCGAGGAGAAAGCTTAGCACTGGGCATTCGAACCACATATATTTCTGTATTGCGGTGACTCGTGTCTGTAGAGGGGGTATTCACAGGACGCCATATTTGAGGGCGATGTTGAGAGCGCACGCCCAGAATGAGCTCACATTAATAGCCTACTAAGACCGGCAATCTTGATAGTGAGGAATGCACGTTGCAAAAGAACTGCGGAAGCTCGCCTTCAGCACCAGTTCAGCAGCCGCGCACACAGCTATGGCCGCCAGTGAATTCCCCTTATGCTGACTGTTGTATGATGTACGAGCAATGTGACCCCGGCTGTAAAGTTTCTTAGTTGAAGGCGCCTTTATGATCACGTGATAGCCCTAAAAGTATCTACGCCTCGACGCAACGACCTTTTCGACCATCTCGGTGCTTAGTTAAAATCACTTGTGCCAAATGTCTGAAACTTCGTCTGAAACCGCAGGAAACGCTCCTCCGTTCTCCAGAAATGTTAATACAGTTCGCGTAAGATAAAAGTAATATCTCCCGAGCTTTCTGACAGCGATATTGTCTCAATTCGGAAACTCGTTGTAGTAGCTTAGCGAGCCAAGGGCACCCAGGGGAAGATATCAGAAAGAAGAGTTAGGGCACAGGCGAGCCGGTGAATTGTAAGCAACCCAAGAAAATCGGAAACACGGAGATAGGCAGGACACACGCAACATCATCTCAGGATATCACCCCGTTAGGCTAGCACTAAACTAGGTCAGCTTATACTGCCGCTGACCGTACATCCGTAGGCTGGTGATAGCGCCAAAACGGCAAAACCCGACAATTTTTGTTGTTAGGTTGGCTTTTAAAATAACGTAGCAGGCAAGAAATATAAGAAAAAAAAAGACATAAGGGTTTGTGTTTACATGTACGGCTAAACAGTATCTCTAGCGAGTGGAATGAAATGATCAAACAGCCCATTTTTGTTGACATCCGTCTTCTTTCTCATCTCTGGAGCGGAAGGTGTCGCTGCTACCACAGTGGCCGAGCGTGACTTTTATACAATAGGCCCCAAATAACGGGGCAATATTCGCCCGCGCGACCGAAACGCCTCCTCTTTTAGCCCACCATACATAGGGTAAAGGGAAGTAAAAGGAAAAGTGGGGCAAAATGCAACCGTTTGTATTTAGCACCATCCATCTCCGAGGCAAACAATCGAAGTACATCCAAACTTCACCGAAAAGTGCCGTGACATGTGCACTTTTCATGTGTAAACATTGAGAGCTCTCGGCAAGAGTGTTCCAGAGGAAATAAATGCGGAGTTGAGGTTGACGTGTTTACACACCGTCGAAAAGGCGCAAACTTTTAGCTCGTGTGGAAACCTGCACCTCGTTCCGTAAAGTGAAGCTTTAATTACATTGGTACGCTTTCTTAGCTCTATGCTTACTAACTCTGAGCAATCTGGAGTTACGTTTTTTCACGAAATAAATATTAACGTAAAAGGATACGCGTGGCGCAAAACGCGACAATCCGGCATTTTATGACGCGCATATCAATGACGCACGAGTCTCCTGGTTCCTCCTGAGCCATATTGTTTTTCTCCCGATGTCAAAAATAGTCAGAACACATCAAAAATAAAAAATCTTCACAGCGCAAACGTGACTTGGACAAAGATCTTTGGAGTGTCAAGCAACAGCGTCACTCTCTTTTCACCTCAGCCACACTTTTTGGCGTGCCAAAGGATGCGCTTCATGGACGAGCCCAACGACTTGGTGAATCTGAAGAGAAGCGACTGTACAAAAAACGACCGGGCTACAGAAGGCGCCTTCTTTTCGATGTTTCAAGTTTTAAGAGCATTTCTTCTGGGCAGAAAACGAGGCACACCTGAGAGCAGCACTGCCCTAACGTCATCTTCCCACATAGCAAAGTTGATGTTGGCGAAAGCAACCGAAAACTGGCGTTTCACTGCCCCCCCCCCCCCCCCCCCCCCGAGAAAAAAAACAACAAAAAAACAAAACGACATATTATTAGTAATACCCTGAAAACGCGCGCAGTGTCCGAGCGTTCTGCAAACAGTGCGGTGCACACCACAAGAGACTGGCAGTGCCTGTTATGCAAAGAACTTTGGAACCGAGTACGAATTGAGTGCATGGAATGCACGAAGTAGAGTCATGAAGAGTGCTTTGGAGCTCTCACAGTGCGTTCCAAATGTTTTTATCGCGAAAAGTGAATGCAAATTATTTTTAAGTGTGTCTCATTGTACCTCACTACGTTGTGTCATTTTTTCCCCAAAGGGCGGAGCAAAATGAGACAATGTGTGACTTTCTAATATTGTAGTTTGCTTTAATGTTTTGCTCGCTCCAGTTAAGTGATAGTTCCTGAGCGTAGGGTCATGAAATCTAAGATTTTCATCATGCTGTATTTTTTTTAGGTTAAAGAAAATAAGTTAATGCTGAAATTAAAAATGTTCGCCTCATTTTGCCTTACCTTACCCTGTTCCTGTCCCTGCTCCACTATCACGGCATCAGTTCTTTCGAAGAGAGCCAAAGATCGTACGCGTATTTCCGTAGTCACTGGAAGAATGAGAACGGCAGGTTGTTTCTTTGGAATGCCCTGCCTCGAACGCGCGCTCCTTGCTTCCCACCGTGCTTTTATCCTGCGTTCGCGCTCAAGACGCCGAAGAGTTATTGAACTTGGGAAGCTTGCGCTCCAAACGGAACAAGCCAAGGAACTCCATGCCGCTCTCATCCTTTCGGGGACCATAGCGCTATCATCTAGGCGAAGAATGCCGAGTTACTCAGTCCTGGGCGCTTGCGCGGCGTCTTTGAATTTCCACAAATAAACGAGTACTGCGCATGGTCCGAATGTGTTCTGCTTCCGAAACGGAAGCGGAACGCGGCAACATTTCAGCACTGACGTCGGCGGTAACCAGAGAAAAAAACGAGAAAGAAATCTACGGAAGACTGGAAAAAGAAAGAGGATAACATTTTAGGCGTGTTCGTTTAACTGCTACGAGTGGAAGTTGCTCGAGCGCTTGTCAACTTCATTTAGTTTTACACAATGCGCGGTTCTGGTATTAACCCGCGAAGTAAGCTATAAAATAACTAAGTAGTGACCTTACCGGTGATGTTTTGTTGTTTCTTCGTGATTATGAAGGTGTCGTCAGCGATATAGGCCCATCGAGACTGCAGTCGATGTCTGAGTTCATGCCTCGCTGTTCTCAATCGCGGTCCCAATGCACGGCACCTTTCCCTATAGATTATGATATTAACTTTATGGTTACACATTCTACAGGGCAAAGAGAGCAAGGCGCCCATGGCCATGTACCTAATGCGTGTCTCTTGTCTCCTGGCCGACAGCTGTACCTGCTGCGCAAGCTGATGCAGGGCGACGAGCTCAATTCCAAGGCTCCGCTGTCGGACAACTTCCGGCCCACACTTCCGGTAAACCAGCGCCTCATCCGGACCAACATTGACTTCAAGTGGAAGCAGGTGCGCGCTTCCTCTTCCCGCCGCTTCCGCGTTCCTCACTTCCTGTTTCATCCCGCGCGGGCGTTTCCTGGTTAACGAAGCTGACAGCGTCTAATCCGCTGACAGGTTCACCTTTTCTTTACACGGCTGCACAATGCAGTTTCTTAGGATTATTAATATTTTCTTTCGCTTCCTGGTTACTTCAAGAATTGTTTCATCTTCTCCTATGTTTGCCTCATCGCGCTTTATAAAAATGAAGCGGTTTAAGGAAACGTTCGGGAGTTGTGTCATCTTATCGAAGCCGACGCGCGCTCGGGGATCTGTTATTTCAGAAATTATAAGGAATCGAAAATTATAATAAACGATGAAAGTTGCGAAGGTTTACGTCTACAAACTGAACCGCTAGGTTTCTTAATTTAATATCAGGGGAGATATTTTTTTATATGGATGTGGTGTCAGAGGCGTTTTTATTATCCGGAAATGACTGATAAGAGGAAGAAAATTGCCATACATAATTCGCGTAACATTAAGCGGCTCCTTTATCAACTTTTTTTTTTATCTTCAATATCTTTAAGATTTTCCTCGTGTTCGTGTTTCCTTCTTAACTTGCTGTATTTATCAGTAACCCTGTCAAAAATAGGAGCCAAACTGCGCAGTACTCAATCTCGGTGAAATTTCTTCCTCATTGCCATAAGCATGATGTGTTTAATACTTTCGTAATGAAGCACTGCACCATTAAGACTATTTAAATATTTAGATGACAACTTGTTGAAATCAAGAACGAGTGATTGCTGGAGCATTGTGTAACTGACAAATAAAGTTCAAAATTTAAAAAAAAAAATGTATTAAATATTTTTAATATTTTATTTTGTTTTGTTATATTTTTTTGACAAAGTGAGAACCGCAGGGAGGGGCTCCAGTTGTCCCACCTCGAGCGCGGGGTTTTCCACCTTCGACCATGCTTCGGCGTCTTGCGCATCGCGAGTGCGCAGCGGAAGCACGACGGAAGGCATGGAGCGCGCGCTGCCGTTTTCACTCTCTCGACGGTTATATACTCGTATTTTGTACTCAACGAGGTAGAGGGGCTTATAGAGCGATAAACTGGTATCCCGTTCACCAGGCAAAAGGGACCCCCCACCTGGCTGCCCCGCCATGTTGTACAATGTTACCCCTAGACATGCGACCCTACCAAATCCTGAGGCTCTTACGCTAAACTGAGCCGAGATTTTTATTGCGATCGCAGTAAAGAAACATGATAAACTATGTCTTCAATACTTTTAACCTAAGAGATTGGTGTCTAGCTCCGATCAAAACCCAAAATACAGCACCGCGGCTGATGTCATCTAGCGGAGGCGTTGCGAAGCGGCCCGGGTTTTTGATGTAAAAGCGCATCTTGGACTTAAAACGAATGAGACATAACTTATCTCGTCGGCATTGTTATTAAAAAGGAATAAGCAATTATTTCTACAAGGTACTTCGCTAAAATCTAGAGGTAAAACTATAAGCTCACGTGTCTAGTGGTCACAATTGTGCAACATGGCGGCGGCCAACTGGAGGTCACTTTCAGCTGCCAGTTTATCGCTCCAAGCCCTTCTCTACCTCGTTGGTTGTACTCAACATATTAGATGTATACAAAATTATTATTTGGTGTTCTCTTTTATACTTTCAGGGTTCCAACTGTCCTTCGATGTACAAAAACATGTATTATCAAGGTGAGACTCAATTTTTTAGTCAGGTGACGATATTCAATTTTGTCCTTCGATCTTAAAAAACACTATGGCGGATCAAATTAAAAACATTTCTTATCCAGCGCGTGGAATAATAATCGGTATAAAAAAAACTTGAGCAATTAAAACAAACAAAAGCTACAAAACATCAATTTTAAATTTCTGAACCATCAAATGGGATTTGATAAGACATGCATGAAGCTCAACGGTTCACTTCAACCAACATGTGTGTCAACTCGTCTTTTCTTTTTAATTTTTATGCGTAGTGTATTTTTTTAGATTGAAATCTCAATATATGGATGAAAGTTCTAGCAGGAAACATGTGTCAAAGTTGATTAGGAGAATTGTATAGCCGAAAATATATTTCGGAATCGGGGAAGAGAAGAAATGTTATCGCCGAAGACATCTCTGACAGTCGGATGACTGACAGCTTGGCCCGAGACTGAAAAAAAAAAACACTCAATGCGTGCAGCAGCCCTAAGCACCTGGGCCCATTCGTAATAAAAAGAAAACGTCTTAAGATTTCCTTTTTTGAGTCTTCGATCTAGATGCGATTCAGAACGCCGGTTTAATATTTCCTCGCACACTGCCAACCGAAACATACGATCATTATCATATTTTGTAGTCGACCTCCTCAGTTTCATGTTTACAACGCCCAGGTAAATTTAAACGGGCGACTCTCTACCAACAGCCCTTGTAATTTTTTGTTTTTGTTTGCCTGCCCGTTTCTACCGAGAGCTCTCATTTAAACTTTATACAGTCACGGTCAACTTAAGAAACACGACCTTAACGTCGCTCTGTGGCCGTTGAGATTTCGACATTTCCACTAAGAACGCCGAAAAGGAAATCGCGAAAAAGGCGCGAAAAAGAAAGGACACGTCCTACGTTTGTCAGGGACAAAAGACGAGCAAACAGTAAAGAACGACAAGGGAAACGTAAGCGATAACTCTGTTCGAGTCCTTTTTTATTTTAATTTTAATGTTCACTCGGCAATATACTGTATTCGCATAAGCCTGAGGTGTCCTTACTCAGTTCACCCGTCTCAACCATTCTGGGAGTTCAAGGTTGCTTCAAGTTTCAGCTGGTCGGCATCAAATAGAAAAAAAAAAAAGATAGAACACTATTTACAGCTAAGTTGTCAAAAAATATCTACAATTTCAAAAACTATTTGTGTGGCAGTTGCTCTCTCGGTGGCGCGCGGCCCGGTCGCTTGTGTGCCAATAAACGCCTTTCTCAAAAGTTCATTGAGCAAAACTGGAGGCTGCCATTTTTCTAGGCTAGGTGGTGCAAGCTACCGCCCGTTTTAAGGGGTGCAGCCGTTAGCCAAAGGAAGAGCTCTGGCCAACGTTCTTAGATATAGCAGTTGACAAGCACCATGAATGAGTGGCGTTCAGAAAACTTTCAGCTTTTCCACTTTGGTGACGAAGGAAGAGTAGCGAAGCTGTACGCTCGTCCCGCGTGTTTCCACTTCGTCCTTGTCTGTTCTGCGCGCTGTTTCCTACGATGAATTCCCACCAACTCGTCCAACTATTTATTCTTTTATAATAGCTGGCCTCCCTCTATGAGCGACGGCGGCCGCTAGACTGGCTGTCTGGTTGCCGCCGTCGCTCATAGATGGCGGTAGCTGTCCAAAATTTTGTGTAGTTTTGTGTCGACATTTGTCTGGTACCGGACACGAAACTGGCGAAACTAGCCCTTAACAGCTCCGCTGCAACTGTATGCTGATTGTCTTTTGCACGACGTATTAGAGCAGTGTGAGCGCGACTTTATGAGCCCGTTTCCTTCATTCGGCGGACAGCGAACACCAAGTTCGTGGGACCCTGAGGAGAGATGGCGACGAGACTACCCGCAAGTCCCGGACGCTGAAACGACCGGCCGAGGGCAGGAGCGTGCCGTGCGTGCCACTCAGGGCGGTGTTGTGCGCAATCCAGTCGGTGCCAGAAAACCGGGTCTGGCCACGGTGCCTCGACCCTTGAAACTCCCCCAAGAAAGCGGACGCCAGATTCCGAAGAACCAATTCTGCAGAACCGGTGGAAGGGAGACTGTCATCTCTTTTGTTTCGCGTTTTACTTCAACGTTGCGGTTTTTTGCAACCAAGAAAAGCAACAAAAAAAAACTAGTATTTTTTTTTTTTTCATTTCATTGTTGCAGTTGCGTGCAGGGTTGTTAGAGGCACAAGGGCAGGCATTCTTCAATACTGCTTAAACGCTCGTGCAAAAAAAAAAATGCGCTGCTCGTTAAGAAAAATTGTTTTACGTGCTACCGCAGCGTCACACGGCCTAAGGTCACATAATGTGATTACATGACTTTACATCACGGTGTCACCTGGCTTGACATTGTTTCACGTTTAGTCAATTTGCCCGCTGAAATAAGTGGGGAACTTTCAGCTAACATTGTGACGTCGTGCGGTTAGGCCAACACGACCAAGAAGTGTCCGTGAAAGGTTTCCATTATAAAGCTTTAGCTATAAAAGCGTTTTTTGAGCAGCAACTGACAGGGTGAGAACGACAGGGAGGTCCTTCGGGTGCCCCGCCTCCGGTTCGAGCTTCTCACATTCGCTTCGGTGACTCGTGAGTCTTGTGAGTGCACGCGCCGAGAAAGTACCACCATGGCCTCCCCTATACTAACAAAGCCTGGCAGTTCGACGGTGGAGCCATAGAGTGGCCGGTCGCAGATTTGGAGCGCCAGGATCTGGTAGCACAGAGCATTTCTCGGGGAACCTGGACGTCAGCGCACAGCTTTTGCAGCGGCGAGGACACGAAACAGGCTTGTTCGCTCGAGAGAAGTGTGTTTCGGTGTCTCGCCGCAGCGGGGCGCCCGTCACGTGGCTCTCCTCTCATCCGTCGTCTGCCGATCTACCTTTTCCATTTCGGCGGCCGCTTCTCGTGGCAATCTACCATGCTTTGTCAGTTTATAGGAGGCTATGGTACGACGGAAGAAAACGAGAGCGCGCTGAAGGCCGGCCGTAGGAAAGAGGCATCCTGCCGTCCTGCGAGTAAATTCTCGCGCCTCTTACAGCGCCGCACGCAACTTGCGGGATGAAGTATACTTGACTGATGATCAGACTCAACTCTAAAAAAAAAGCGCGTTCTTTGGCTTACTTTTGTTGTTTAGGTTGTTTTACCTGAGCATTGTCTGCCGCTCGTGTCCGAGTAACGTCGCTCCAGATTGTGTAGAATCGCATACGCCGCTCAGATCCGGGCATGTGCGCATGTGCTGCGCGAAATCTTCTTCGGCAACTCAAGTTTGCGCACACTGCGACGTTTCCTTCGCGCAACCGAAGCAAAAAAACGAATCATTCGGGATCCTACTTTTCACGGCTCTGGACTCATTTTCACCTTGCGATGGACCGCAGCGGATACAACGAGCAACCTGAGCCAGTTCAATCCTGAGTAAGCGTCACGTGATCTTCGAAAGCGGCCCAGCGACGCGCAGGGCACTTGGTCACATGGTTCATTCGCAGCGTTGGATTGGCTGGGATGGACCATAGCGTCCGCTGTGGTCTATTGTAAGATAAAACGGAGTATTGTAAGCCGCCAAAAGCGCAACTCTCGACCGTGCGCTCGATACACGTCCGAAATTCTCCCCTATTAATCACGGCGCGGGTGTGTTATGTTCTGAGCATATTGAATAGTTATGTCTAAAGTTGAATTCAGCCGCGCTGGTGAACAAATCATCGACCTACGCATACATCCTATCGAATCTATATTTCATTTTACGAGCGGAACGGAAACACAAGGATTCGAATGCGAGCAAATGTTTCACGTGAGGCAGAACCAAAGAGTGACCATTTTGTCAATATTTCTCATTTGGCTCGAGAACGAAGTTTCCAAGTTTCCGAGGCTTACGCACCTGCTTTCGGAAATGTAAACAAAAAAAGCAAATGAAACAAGAATAGACGTAGCATTTAGAGGAATTCGCTAGACAAGTCTGCATCTCAGAGCGAGTCCACTCTGTCTGAGTATGTCTCTAAATTCTATCCTTCCGTGCCAGGGCAATACCACCTGGAAGACAAGAGCCGGGCATGTCGTCATCGTTTGTCGATCTCCGACTCGCCCCAAGCAGAAAGCACGCTGAAGGTCGAAGGGAGTGAAGCGGCAGGCTTTTGCGTCCGGCGTCGCCACGTGGTAGCTTTGCTAGCCACCGTAGCATTGCACTCGTCGTGAGATTAAGCACGACGTGCTGTTGGCGACGCCGAGGCGGGCTATGCGTCACCGCTTAGATCCACCAGTGGTTAGGTTTGGGAGAGGAAAAGCCAGGCCTTGTCTCCTAGATAGTGTTGGCTCTGCGATTGACGGCGTTTGCAAACCGCTTGTGAAACATAGACACCCCGCAGTTCGAACCGTGGTGTAAGATAGACAGGTGGAGAAACGAAATCCGATTGGCGACCTGGTTGTGTCCCCGCTTCGTAACACTCCACATAGATGGCGCCACCCAAAGACGAAACGAAAAACAAATTATTCTGATTCATTCTGAAGGTAACGCGACTCAGTGGCGATTTCTTTCGTAAACCCTGCATGAACCACGCAAGTTTAATCGAGCAAACTGATCATATATATATATCATATAAAGGTTTTATTTTGCCTGTAGTTCCACGTTACCAGTTAAAATAATCAAGAGTGTGCTCAGCGGGAAGAATAAAGGCGACCGAAGAAGTCATCAGAGGCGTGTCGTGAATGCGTCGATTCCGCTCCGCCTGCACGTGTGTTCGGCGATCTAGCTTATGCTGAGCGCGAATTCGTCTGGTTCTTTTCCAGAGGTCGTGGTGACGTCAGCCGAGCTCTGTTTAGCTCTGACTGAAGGATAGTGGGGTAGACGTCACGGCAGCTTGTTTTGACGTCTACCCACTATCCTCCTAATCAAAGCCAATCAAAGCTCGGCGGTCTGACGTCACCACAACCGCTGCAAAGGAAGCAGACGAACTTGCGCGCCGCATTGCCTTCCGTATGCCGCCGCGCCATCTATCGTAAGGCGGAGGTACCTGCCGAGCAGAAGCCGCCAGGAGGATGCAATTCGGTTACACCGCTGCGGCAGGTTTCAGAGGTTGTTTCTCTACATGACAATCTTGCACCCTGGTTCGAACCGTAAACGGGCGTTTCAGAAGGTGTACGTTCTGCTCCTAACCATCGTAATGACATTTCCAACTTGTGTGGACCAGGTGAAACGGTATAGGGGTAGCAGCTCTTTGGCTTGTCCAGCTTTTGCGTGAACCTATAGTGGCACTACCTCGCTCGTTTCGGAGGAAAAAAAATGTGAACAGACAAGACGCGCAGAAACCCTTCTCTGCTTCAGGGAAAGAAGAAAGTCTCCGGTCGTCGAACTTTCCGCGCAGCCCTTCTTCGCCGACTGGCGGGACATATGCAAATGAATAACCGTCGCCATCATCGACGACGACGACGACGTGCTGATCTCTAGTGCTTCCCAGGAAACGGACCTCACGTCTTCAAACATGCACACATACAGACTCACATAAACACATACACACACACACACGCACACACGTACACGCACCAAAAAAAAACGAGACTTCAAAGTGCGCTCCAAGACGCTCGTTCAGACTGTGGACCTGAGCGCGACGAAGAACCATTGGTGTGCAGTGTGCGCCCGGTACAAAAGAAAAAAAAAAAGCAAAGACCCAATCGAAACCAGAAACAGCAACAACAAAGTCTGTGTGTTAACGTATCAAATCATGTTGACGTGTGTGATTTTTCTTCTTTTTTTTTTAATTATCAGTAAAAACGAAGACATTCTACGAGCATGTGTTCGATTTCTTTAGGTTACACTTGGAGACAACTTTTCTTGGCAATGAAGCCAAAGCTATGAGTACCAGTGCGCTCCCGCAGCAGTGCGCTCCCGCGCAGCTGTGCTCGCGCGGTTTTTACTTTAGAAATGCTAGAAAGAGTTGTCTCCGGCCGTGTTCCAAAATTTACTCTATCTTACCCCATGGTAAGGGTTTTGTACCCTTGGCGCTCTAAAACCTACCCACGTCCAGCGTTTTTCAATCTGTGCAGTCACGTGATACGATCCGTCGGAGTAACTCGGATATGCTCTTCCGCAGAAGGTAAAAGGAAACGTACAGAAACGTTCCATCCATTAGGATTAAGTCCTACGGGTTTAGGGTTTGCTCTAGAACTTGAAGATGCACTGGTGTGTATATATTAGGCAGGTCGATACAGGAGCCACAATCTTGGATCCATCTGGGTAAGATTTGGAACACAGCCCTTGAGTATTGGCGATGTGAGCGATCGAAAGCGTCGCTGTGATCGGTCTTCACTGATATGCCGAATACTGACTATGATGTCACCAAAGGATTTCTCATCGACGGAAATAAGAGGAATGGAAGAACTTCAATTTTGACGGTGTTGGCAGTGTTGCTTTGAGAGCGCAATGATTCCAGGCTTCTACCATGCTCTTTACAAACACCTTCAAACTTGTTGTTCGCAAGATAATGACGTCACAAAACGGTAACCATAGGAGGGCGCCACCAAAACATCTCGCCGCCAATAGGCCTTTCCAAAAAAGGGCTCCTTGCCGGTTCCATCAGTTTAATTTTCAGTGTTCGTGCGTATGGAGCGTGATTTGCTCGCTTTCCGAAGCGACGAACATGTGCGTGCTGGACTGGGGAGATCGTACGCTAGGCTGGGGACTTTTTGAAGATTGGAATTGTGTCTCTACGTTTTCTGTTTCATGTCGTTCTCAAACACGTGGCTTCCGTATCTGGAATGCGGGACGAAAAAAAAAATAAAACATTTCAACCTGGAATATGCGAGAAAATATGCGTGAGGCAAAACTAGAATGTGTGACAATCACGGATTTTTCGTAAA